TGGAGTTAGCGGAGTCTGTAACCTGAAGCGTATGTAACCTGAGGTACCACTGTATTGTGTTTTTAGTATTGGGGTGGGAGCCGCCCAGAGTGGCTGGGGAAGCCCAGCCAGATGGGCGGGGTATAAATAATAAATTATTATATATATTCTTATATGGGGTGCCCACGATGCTCCCCAGCCTGGCTCCAGACTGCCAGGGAAGCTGTGTTGTGTTTTGCTGCAGGTGAGCCTGCCCTGTGCAACGCTGGGCTCTTAAAGGAACTTGGAGCTCCAGGCGGAGGGGCCACAGCTTCCCCACACTTGTGAAGCAGCCATGGGAGCGATGGGGAGGCAGGCGGCTTGAGGTGGGGAGTGGCGTGGAGTGGAGGAATCTGCTAGAAGGAGCTTCTGGAGCCTATGCACCCCACCCCTTGCCTGCTCCCTGAAGGTTTCCTGAGCCTCCCCCCCTTTTCATTTCAGGGATTGGGGGACCTCAGCATCCCAGGGTTGCTTTGTTCTGGGGGTGGGGGGAAGCTATTTTGTTTGCTGAGGGCAGGAGTCACAATCCTGTCCCATTGTGTTGTGTCTGGCTTTTAGGTAAGGGGATGAGGCTCAGGTGGGAAAGAGTTGAGAAAGAAAAAATCCTGGGGTGTGGATTTACTCCGCTGCCCAGCTCGTCAGGGTGCCACTCCCCGGGGGGTCCCTCTGGTTAGCAAAAGAAGGAATCTCCAGCCACGTTAAATATACAAAACCTCGGTCAGCAGACCTGATCTTTATTTGTTGCAACAAGGTTCAAACACAAAGATTGTTTGGGTGCATTACGAGAGGGGGAAGCTGCTCCTTTATCCCTTATGGGGTATCCAAGAGCCCATATAGAGTCCTTTTGTAGGTTCTTTATCGGTAGGAGGAAATAACAGAGGCCAACTACAGAATATTGAGAATCAAAGCAGCTAGTAAGCCTGATCTTTATTGAAGCTCTTGCAATAGGGTGTTCCCCCCACAGGCAGGAGAGAGGAGGAGCCCTTACAAAGGAGTGCAAGCCCTTATATAGACATTTTGAAATTGCCCGTCCTGGAGCCCAAGACCGCCCCCCCTGAAACATCATAAATACATCACAGAAGGGGTGTAGCCCAAGACCACCCCCAAGACAGCATACCTACATCAGAGAAGGGGTGGAGTACAACAGAAATCTGGGTGAGCTGTTTTTTTCCTGTCTGCCAGGTTACCTGATTGGATTACCTGGGCATCCTGGCCACTCTTTTGTTATGATAGCTACTCAATTCCTGAATCCAGGTCACAGGTCGCAGGCTCACTCTATTTATATCTTAAGGTAAAGGGACTCCTGACCATTAGGTCCAGTCGTGACCGACTCTGGGGTTGCGTTGCTCATCTCGCTTTATTGGCCGAGGGAGCCGGCATACAGCTTCCGGGTCATGAGGCCAGCATGACTAAGCCTCTTCTGGCAAACCAGAGCAGCGCACAGAAACGCCATTTACCTTCCCGCCAGAGCGGTACCTATTTATCTACTTGCACTTTGACATGCTTTCGAACTGCTAGGTTGGCAGGAGCAGGGACTGAGCAACAGGAGCTCACCCCCTTGGGATTCGAACCGCCGACCTTCTGATCAGCAAGTCCTAGGCTCTGTGGTTTAACCCGCAGCGCCACCCGCGTCCCTTATTCATATCTTCTTGTTGTTTAGTCATGTCCGACTCTTCGTGACCCCATGGACCAGAGCACGCCAGGCACTTCTGTCTTCCACTGCCTCCCGCAGTTTGGTCAAACTCATGCTGGTAGCTTCACGCACACTATCCAACCATCTCGTCTTCTTCTCCTTGTGCCCTCCATCTTTCCCAACATCAGGGTCTTTTCCAGGAGTCTTCTCTTCTCATGAGGTGGCCAAAGTATTGGAACCTCAGCTTCACGATCTGTCCTTCCAGTGAGCACTCAGGACTGATTTCCTTCAGAATGGAGAGGTTTGATCTTCTTGCAGTCCATGGGACTCTCAAGAGTCTCCTCCAGCACCATAATTCAAAAGCATCAATTCTTCGGCGATCAACCTTCTTTATAGTCCAGTTTTCTCTTCCATACATCACTACTGGGAAAACCATAGCTTTTACTATATGGACCTTTGTTGGCAAGGTGATGTCTCTACTTTTAAGATGCTGTCTAGACAATGGGGAGGTTTTTAAGATGCTGTTTAGACAATGGGGAGGTTTCCCACTATGACCTTGCAGAGAAATATTTGAGGTTAATTTGGGAGGTACAAAATGGTTCTAGAACTTTTTCTATTGGCTTCAGACATGTGGGGTGTGTGTGTGTGTTCTTAGAACATTTATTTTGTATACATTAGACCTTAAAATTCTTACCAAAATTGCATATGGTTGCGCGAACTTTTAACACCTCTCCCCATTTCCCACAATACAGGGTCATCGATACATCACAAATATGTCACAAAGTAGGAGTCTTTGGCATTTAGAAAAATGAGCCCGTCTCCCTGCCCGTCAGTAACCCTATTTTCCCACACCTTTTAACTACCCTCTTCCCCAAAGAACCGTAATAGTATTCGGACATCCCCTGAACTGGAAGGCTTTCCTGCGCTTCTCCTTTGAATGCATCAGGATTCAATCCACCATCCCGATGGATTTCTGTCTGGGACATGTGCTGCCCTTGATCGCCTCCTGCCTCCTAAGGGATTATGGAGTCAGGGGGAGCCCTGGATCCCCCAATTCCAGAGGAGTCATTAGGCGTATTGGATAGTCGGAGGAAACAGTCCGATTCATGGTATCCGCTTCTTGCTACAATTGTATAGGCTGCTTTTCTGAGCCTCCTTGCTGTTGTGCATGGAAGGTGCTTGTGTCAACGGTCATTGTCCTGGCCTTAGTCCGAGGCTGTGGTGGGGACTTGGGGTTTTGGGGGGAGTCGTATAACTGTCCCCCCTCCTGGTTTGAAGAGCACCAATACCTAAAACACGGACGCACGGCTCGTGGCGTGGGGTGGGCGAGGGAAGGATTTTACAATGAAAACATTGGGGGAACCCCACTTTGTAATTGGATTGCGGGATCACCCCTCCCCCGCTCTCCTGATTCACAGATGGAAGAGGGGAGGAGGGATACCTTCCTCTCCCTCCCCCCAGTTCCTTCCCTCCCGGCACATCCTTCCCTCACCCCTCCTCCTCATCCCCAAATCCCCTCCCCAATATGCTGCTCCTCCTCCTCGCCATCCGACCTCTGTTCCGGGAATAGGGGGGGAGAGCCCCCCTCCCAACCTGCCTGCTTCTCCCGGAAGTGGAGCTTCCACTCCGGATTGCTGCTCTGCGCCGTAGCTCTAGGGACGCGCCCTTTCGGAAAGGGGAGGAGGGGCAGCAGGCGACCCCCCCCCCGGTGGATGTTTCAGGAAAGGAAAGGAGAATCTGGAGTGAGGAGAAAGAGGTAAAGGGGTCGTGGGGGGGGAGAGGACAGAAAAGGACCCAGGTAGGGACGCCGCGCCAGCTCCCCAGAGCGCCTTTCGTGGGTCCCGTCGGCATGGCCTAGATCCCTGCATCCGTGCTGCGCCTTGGCAGCGGCGGACATGGGGCGCCCACCGAGGGGGTCCCACGAGGGCGCCTTTGCCCCGTTTCCCCCACGCAGGGATCCCTGGGGCCCTGTGGGATCTGCACGGAGAAAGGCGGGCCATGAAAGGGTTAACGGGCTCGAGGGACGCCTGGATAGAGACCCCCGTGTGGCTTCCTTCCTGCAAGCTGCATCCTCTTCACGCCCCCAGAAACCCCTGCACTGCCCAGTCGCTGCGGTTCAAATCCGGAGAGGAAGAGGGGAGGGGAGAGGCCTTCTCAGAAGCGGCTCTTGGTTTCCGCAGTCCCCCCCCCCCCCCAGGAAGCAGCCAGAAACCTTTTCCTCTCTCTCAGGCCTCCATCCTTAATGTCTTTTCCACTGCCTGCTTCATTGAGGATGAGGATAATGTACACCTGTCATCAGAAACAGGGGTGCAGAGTCCATGGAATGGCTCTCAGGATTCATATAGAAGTTGCACCTCAAAAGCATTTCTGTTCCTCTTATTTTTGGTAGGGAGTGTCAGAGTGACTGACAAGCTGAGATTCTTCCCAAAGGACCCATTTTCATGGTAGACAGTGCTTGTGGCTGGAGGCTCTACATACAAGGTGTTCCTATACAGGCCAAAGACTGCCAGTATTAGCACCGGTGAGGTGTGTGACCTCCCCTAATTTACAGACTGTATGTAAATGAGAGTTTGTGGGTGGGATTACAGTTTACGGCAGCCCTGTGATTTTCTCCACCCATGACATTTTGTGAGCTGATATTGCAGTACGAAATCCAAGAATAACTACAAAAGAATAACAATATAATAAGAATGATTGTAGTATTTATACCTTGCCCATCTGGCTCGGTTTCCCCCGCCACTCTGGGCAGCTTATAGTACACATAAAAGACAGTAAAACATCAGACATTAAAAACCTCCTGATATAGGGCTGCCTTCAGCTGTCACCTAAATGTCAGACAGCTGCCCATTTCCTTGCCCTCTGCCTGCTTCCCTGTAACTTCGCTTCTCATGGGGTGTGGGGGGGTGAACCAGCAGAAGACCCTCAAAGGAGGACCTCAGTGTACAGACTGAGCAATGGGGGTGGAGACACTCCTTCAGGTCTAAGGAGAGTGAGGCTGTAGGGCTTTAGGTCAATGATCTTGCTCCTCCACAATGATCTCCAGAGCAAGTCCAACATACAATTAGCAGAGTAGGAAATAAAGCTCAGAGACAGCAAAAAATTCCTTCAGCAAATAAATTTGTGACTGAAGGCATAACAGGAATCTATGCCTGAAAAATGCAACCACAGCAATTTAAAGGTCAGCACCAACAATGTGAATTGTGCTCAGAAATGTACTGGGAGTCAGTGAAGATCCTTTCAGACTGGTGTTATGTTGTCTCAGCGGCTGCTCCCCTTCTGTTCTCTAGCTGCCACATTCTGGATTAGTTGCAGTTTACGAGTCACCTTCCAAGATGGCCCCATGTAGCGCATGGCAGTAGTCCAAGCGGGAGATCACCAGAATATGCACCACTCTGGGGAGACAGTCTCCAGGCATGGAGGGTCTCAGCCAGCGTACCAGATGGAGCTGGCAGACAACTGCCCTGGACACAGAATTGACCTGCGCCTCCATGGACAGCTGTGAGTCCAAAATGACCCCCAGGTTGTGCACCTGGTCCTTTTGGGGCACAGTTACCTCCATCAGGTCTAGGGCGTCTCCCACACCTGCCTGCCCCCTTTCCCCTGGGGCAGTATTTCTGTCTTGTCAAGATTCAACCTCAATCTGTTAGCCACCATCCATCCTTCAACTGCCTCCAGACACTCATACAGTACCTTCACTGGTTCCAATTTAAAAGAGAGGTAGAGCTTGGTATCATCCACATACTGGGGAACACCCAACCCAAACCCCCTGATGATCTCTCCCAGCGTCTTCATATAGATATTAAAAAGCATGGGGGAGAGGATGGAGCCCTCAGGAACCCCACAAGTGAGAGCCCAGAGGTCTGAACACTCATCCCCCGACACCACTTTCAGGACATGGCCCAGGAGGAAGGAGGGGAACCACTGCACATGGTCAAATGTGCACATACCATGGTCAAAGGTCTCCAAAGCCGCTGACAGATCCAGCAGAACCAGGAAAGAGCTTTTTCCCCCTTGGTCTCTAGCCCATCGGAGATCATCAAGCGGCGCAACCAGGGCAGTTTCCGTCCCATGATGAGGCCTGAATCCCAATTGGAAGGATAATGGTGGCAGAAGCTTTCCTGGTCCTGCCCCTCCAAAAGCTCCAGGCCCAAGACTTTCATTAGCTTTCAAGGGGCCATCGGAGATGCTGGAAGGAGGTGTGCAGGACACCATCCAACCGTCTTAGAGAGTCCATTCTGGATTTGTGTAGGTTCCCCCCCATAGCCTTCTCTTCTCCTGAAGATAACTCACAAGGCAGCGAAGGTTTAGGATCAGAGCTTTCCTTCTCGATGGGCTTCCTTCCCCGATTGACAATCACATCTGCCCTTCACTTTCCTCTGCAGCATGGGCGGAATCTGCGTTCTTGACTGTGGGATTCACTGTTGTTCTCATCCTCTTCATCCACCAGGGTCTGCCTTCACCTGCACCAGAATTCCCCAACCCACCAAGCGTTTGAGACCCATCAGGTATCCTCACCTGGTTTAGCCGGCCCGTTGAAGCTGTTGCTTGGATCGCTGCCTCTGTTGCATTCTGGCAGCTTCTGGAAGCCACAGGTGAGAGCTGAGTGCAGGGTGGGGACCAATGGTGGAAATATTACCCCACAAGGTGGACTACATGTCGCCCACCAAAGGTACTACCGCTCCCCTAACACCCCAAGCCATCCTATAATTATGATATTTAAGACAGATCAGGAATAAATTTATTTCTCAAGAAACAACATAACTTCAGGCTGTTAATGACTCAATACTACATATTCAAGGATGAAGTTTCCATTAAGTACAGTTATCTATTTGCCTTTAGTATTCAGATTTGTAAGTGTCATTTTAGGATAGTCCTGATTCAGGAGACAGGCACAAGATGAGGCTGCACCTCATTATTATACGGAGCAATGGGGGTGGGTTTTTCCGTCTGGGATTCCCATGCGCCAGCTGCTTTCCTTCTGCTTCTCCTTCTCTTTCCATGCAATGCAAGGCATCTAGACGGAGGTCCATCTCCAAGAACAGGAGCTTCCCTGAGCACCCATTCAGCTGACCCAAAGCACCAAGACTTGTCACTAGTTCTCTGACTAACCCAGACCACAGTCCCTGGAAAAGGCATAGACCTAGGTCTCACATAATAGTCCATATGGACCTCCTGAGGCCAATGGGACTGTGCAGGTGATTCATTAAGAGACAGAGGTGGATGGAGGATTATGTTGCAGAGGATGGGAAATGTCCAAAGGAACGATGGACCAGAGAAAGAGAGGGCCTTTTCATGGACAGAGAGCAGCTGCCTTTCCTTGTGAGGAAACAATTGGTTGGAAAAGTCTGTATTCCAATATCATGCTGCTTTATCATGCTGCTGATTGAGGATTATGAAAGGTTGCTGATGCATTGCTATCATTTGATGACATTGCATTTTCATTTCCTAAAAATTTGGAACAAGGGTAGGATGCGGGAAATGTAGGATATGTTGAAATATGAGGTGGTGCTAATGGCATCTGATGTGCTCTCTTTTCCTTTGTTCTCTTCCTTGAAACCCAAACAGGATTTCCTTTCCTCCCACTCTGAAGAAGGTGAAGGAGAAGACAGTCAAAACTTCAGGGGATCGGGACCTTAGGCAGAGAATTAAATTAGGAAGAGAAATTAAAATGTGTCAAATGTGGAATATGCTTCACTGAATGAGCATACATAGCTCACATCAACGACTTCCAACAGGAAAACCATATAAATGTATGGAGTGTGGAAAGAGCTTCAGTCAGAGTGGACACTTCAATATTCATCAACGGACTCACACAGGGGAGAAACCATATAAATGTATGGAGTGCGGAAAGAGCTGCAATCACAATGTATCCCTTAGATGTCATCAACAGAGTCACACAGGGGAGAAACCATATAAATGTATGAAGTGTGGAAAGAGTTTCAGCAAGAATGGAGACCTTAGAACACATCAACGGACTCACACAGGTGAAAAACCTTTTAAATGTATGGAGTGCGGAAAGAGCTTCAGTCACAATGTATCCCTTAGATGTCATCAACGGACTCACACAGGGGAAAAACCATTTAAATGTATGGAGTGTGGAAAGAGCTTCAGTCGCAATGCATCCCTTAGATGTCATCAATGGACTCACGCAGGGGAGAAACCATATAAATGTATGGAGTGTGGAAAGAGCTTCAGTTTCAATATAAACCTTAGAACACATCAACGGACTCACACAGGTGAAAAACCATTTAAATGTAGGGAGTGCGGAAAGAGCTTCAGTCACAATGTATCCCTTAGACGTCATCAACGGACTCACACAGGGGAAAAACCATTTAAATGTATGGAGTGTGGAAAGAGCTTCAGTCACAATGTATCCCTTAGATGTCATCAACGGACTCACACAGGGGAAAAACCATTTAAATGTATGGAGTGCGGAAAGAGCTTCAGTCACAATGTATCCCTTAGATGTCATCAACGGACTCACACAGGGGAGAAACCATTTAAATGTATGGAGTGCGGAAAGAGCTTCAGTCAGAGTGGACACCTCAATATTCATCTACAAACTCACACAGGGGTGAAACCATATAAATGTATGGAGTGCGGAAAGAGCTTCAGTCAGAGTGGACAGCTCAATATTCATCTACAAACTCACACAGGGGAGAAACCATTTAAATGTATGGAGTGCGGAAAGAGCTTTAGTGAAAATGTAAACTTAGAATACATCAACGGACTCACACAGGGAAAAACCATTTAA